CGGAGCTAATGCCCGCGCTCCTTCTCCGCCGAGGTGGAGGACCTGGATGTCTGCCGGGCTGGTGAAGGCCCTCGCCCGGTCCCCCTTGGGGGAGCTGTAGCTCTAAACACCAGAAAAAGGGTGGGCTAAGAAACCGAATGGAGCCCCTGCGTCCTTTCCCCAGCCAAAAGAAACAGGGGCAAGGATTCATCCTGTTCGTGGTGCTCTGAAGGGGTCAGGGACCTACTTGAGTGATCCGTGTTGTGTCCTCTTAGGATTCCGGCGGACCAAAGAGGATGCCCAAGGCTAGGAGGAAAAAAGATTTAGCGCCTCCCCTCACTTCATCCTGGCCCTGAGCCAGTGGGTCTCCAGCTCTAATTTCCCCACTAGCCTCAGGCTTCCACAGAACCCCTCCACCTCTTCCTTCGGCCTGTGCGCCAGAATTGTATCTGGCTCCTGCTGCATAAGACAAATAACGCGGGCGGTGAGAGAAAATGAACAGTGCTGTCCAAACTCCCCAGTCAATATTTTTTCCGCCTTCTCCATGCAAGCTGTTAAAAACATGCTGCTCTCTTGTTTTTGTGTTTCTTTTCAGTTTGGTACTGGAATGGTGCCTTCTGTTGTATTTTCTTCCTCCCATTTTTTAGATCTTTAGCATGCTAGAAGTACAACAATCAAGCAAAACTAGGACAAGCTTTAATCCTTCCAAATTGAGTGGAGTGGCTACTTTGCTTGTACAAGAAAGGCTAAACTGGCCTCCCTAGAACTCCAAGAGTCCTGAAAGGCAGCAGTGGGAGGATGTGAGGGTATGGGAGTTCTTTCTTTAAAAACTTAATGGAAAGTTTTCATTTACCCTTGTTAGGGCAGCAGAGAATTACTAGAATGTCCTGTCTTTTTGTTTGTTTGTTTTGGACTATAAGCAGCTTAGACTGATAACTATATATGGTGATCACAAGCTTTGAAATGGTAGTTCTGTGTCTGATTAATAAAAATGTAAAATTATTAATAAATGCAATTTAGGAGACTTTTTCTTTAAAACATAGGGTTCCTGGAAGTAAATACAGTAGATAGGGCATATGATAGTAGTGGAAGTTTGGGAGTGAATGGACCTGAACAGTATTTCTCAAATTAGGTCTATGGATGTATTCTCTAGGGTTTTAATTTTGTTTTCATTTTGATAATATTTTTTAGATTTGCATAAGCATATACCGGATTATTTGGGTGACCACTTCATAACCTGGTATTGCCACGTGATTTCAGTACCTACATTTGCACGTGTGTTTCAATTCTGCTTTTATTGTTTGGGGATAATGAGAAACGAACAGAGGTGGATTTAAAATGAAAATGGTGTTTTCATGCACAAAATGAAAGCCAAAAGACATCATGGGGGCCAGCCCGGTGGCATAGTGGTTAAGTTCATGTGCTCTGCTTCAGCAGCCCGGGGTTCGAGGTTCAGATCCCAGGTGCAGACCCACCCACTGCTCATCAAGCGATACTGTGGCAGTGACCCACATACAAAATAGAGGAAGATTGGCACAGATGTTAGTTCAGTGACAATGTTCCTGAAGCAAAAAGAGGAAAATTGGCAACAGATGTCAGCTCAGGGCCAATCTTCCTCACCAAAAAAAAAAAAAAAAGACATCATGGGACTGCACTGTTGCAGTAGTTCTAACAGAAAAGTGGTGAGAAAATTGAGATGTCAGAGGTCACTTGGTGGCATAGGCATGTTGAACTCAAAAGAAGTTGATCTTTCACAAGCAATACCATAGTCACAATACAAGGGATAATTTAGTCTAAGCAAAACATCAATTATCATGTTAAATTACTATATTAATATGCATAGTATTAGTTTTGTGGTTTCATATGTATTTAATATGTAAATCTTTTTTGGTTTTTTAGTTGTATAAGAACTATCAATAAAAGAACATTATATTCCTACTTTATATTTATAAATTTAAGTAACATTGTAATAAAAATTTAATTGACAGAGTTTTCAAGATTTTTTTTTTCTTTAGAAATGTATCCAAATACTACTCAAGTTTGAGAAACAGAGGGCTGAGAGGTTTTTTGATTTAGTACTTTACCAGTACTAAACAAGTAGATCAGAGGGGGTTCCTATTGGCATGGAGAGGAGAAATCTGTTTCCTTATACTTTATGTAAAAAGTCTTCAGAAATGATAAAGGAAGCAAATGCAGAGAGAAGCACATTAAGTCAATTCCAGACATACCATCATCTAGATATTAGCTTAAGCTTAGATGACCCTCCATCTGCTAAACAGAAATTAGCACACGGATTGATGCTAAGCTATTTTGTTTAAAACTCAAGTACGCTTTGCTTACCCAAGCACAATGAATTGGACACCTAAAGAATAACTATGATTAAATACGAAATCACAAGCTGAGAAAATAGGCCCCAGAAAATTGCCTGGTTTTAGAGTCATCAATTCTGGACTTCAATTCCCACCTCTGTCTCTGACTCATTGTGACATACCTCTCCCTATGCCTCAATCCTGCTTCTCACCCCCTCATCTCCAATAAAATGGAGCTAACCCCCTCTGGTTCCCTCTCTGGTTACTGTGATGATGTGAGAATGAAACAGGTAGTAAACATGGAGATGCTAATAAATCCTTCAATAAAGAAAGTGATTAAAACAGAGTGAAGCAGAAAGAGGCTATTTCAAAAATTGGGCCACATGGAAACTAGAACAAAATGTAAGACAGTCTTTTGGAGAGTGTGGTCCACTCACTATCTGAATCACATAAGTTGCTTGTTTAAAAATGCAGATTCCTCTATGTCAATTATTTCTCAGTAAAACTGGGGAAAAAATGTGCATTCCTGGCCTCCACCCTAGATTTACTGAATCAGAATCCCTGAGAACGGGGCAGGACATTTTACCGTGCACCCCTGGTGGTTCTAATGTGCAATGACGTTCGAAAGACATTGATTTAAAAAGGTCATCTGGAAAAATAAGTACCATATCAACAAGCATCTGCTCAAGGAGAGTCTGAAAAGAGTATCTGGAAGCCACCTCAGTCCAGAAAAAGCAAATGATAGCTACAACTGCTTATCAATAAGCAATTCTATCCCTATTGGCTGTGGTTTTTGCCAGATTAAGACGATCCCTCTTTTGCTGGATTCCTGGAAGTCAGCTAGGCACTACAAATACAGAACTGTGTCACTGAGCTGTTTCCATATGCTCTCTTCCTCTCTATTGCGCCCTCTGGTCTCCTGTCCACATCCCACACACACAAGAAACTAATGACCAGGGAGCACCAGAGGGAATGGCTGAGATAATGCTGAGGATTTGAAGCAACACTCAGGAAACAATGTGACATTCTCAACACTGAGTTCTGACACCCACATACAGTTCACTCCCAGTGAATCAAGGGAAGACAGGGTTAGATTTGCCCAGGTCCTGTCAGATGAAGCATCAAGAATATGGAGCAGCACAGGCAGATGGGATCGATAGCCATCAACTCTTGTGTTTCTAACAGCTCTCAATGTCACAACAGAAGAGGGTCAGTCCTGAGGAAGCCTGAATGACGTCATTGTGCTCTCTGACCTCTCGCCTCACATGTACTAAGCTTGCCTCTTCCTCACAGTCCACAGAGCTTTACAAACAGGCGCTCATTCCAGGGCTGATCTGCTCCAGAGTCACCCCACTGGGAGAGAAGGCCAAGTGCAGCAGAGAGACCTATATGTAGGTTGTTCTCTCAGGGCAGACCCAGCAGTGCCGACCCATTGAAAAGGTCATCAGGAAAGTGGTGGATGGCCCAGTTCTTGCACAGAAAACCTGAGGTGCATGCAGGCATTTTCCAACTTTCTTCATTTAGCAAGCTGACCCTGGTAAACAGATTCCCAGGTCTGCACTTAATTCATTGCAAATTAGTAATTATCATTATAGTGTTAATGATATTTTGAATTTATGTTTATACAAAGAATATCCTCATTCTGCGGGTCTCAAATATTTCCCCCTCAACTTCACCTCAATATTTTTACTTTCTTTCTCTTCTCTGCTTTTTGGCAAAATTTTAAACCCATTTTCATGGCTGGGAATACTTGACAAAGAGAAAAAGACTTTACCTGGAGTCACACAGTCAATCAGAAGCAGCTATGGAACTCATGATCAGGGATTATCACTACTCTTTGCTTCATCCCTACCTTCATGCCATGGCTTATCACTATATATAAAGAAGGTATGGGATTTCCAGAGCAAAACTTTGCTTGAATTATTGGGAAGAGCAAATCAAAGAAATGGAACAGTCAGTTCTGATTCAGGGCAGTACATACAATGGTTAAGAGAGTATACACTGGAGTCAGGAAGACCTAGATTGACATCCCAGCTCTCACATTTACTAGTTGTGTAACTTTGGGCAAATAACTTATCCTCTCTGATTCTTGGCTTTCTGCATCTGTAGAGTGGAGCTGTAAAGCTTACCTCATGAGGTTGTTAAGATTAAATAATTCATATATAATGCTTAGATTAATGCCTGACAAGAGTAAGCCCTCAAATATTATCTATTAATAGTTATTATTTACTGAGGACGCAGAAGCAGGTAAGAAAACATTCCGGCCAATTAAGCATTGGCAACAAAGAGGACCAGTGTGAAAGGATGAAAGGAGTACATGATTTAGAGTCAGAAGACCTGACACAGGCCTCCCAGAAGTTTCCTCATTGCTTAAACAGGGGAAAACCTTACCTTACTTCTCTCTCGGGGTTGTTGTGAGGAATAAGATCCATAATGTAAAGTACTTTGTAAATGGAAAGCACCACGCAAATGTTAGAAGTTATGTTATTGATTACCAAGGGCTCACTGAATCTGGTGCCCAAGCCAAACACAAAAAG